GACAACATCAAGCATAATCACATTCGGATCATAAGGATACCAGAAGGAGAAGAGAGAGAGCAAGAAATCAAAAGCCTATTTCAATAAACAATGACAGAAAACTTCCCTAACCTGGTGAACGAAATACACATACAAGCCCAGAAAGCAGAGTCCCAAACAAGAGGAATCCAAAGAGGCCCACACCAAGACACATCATAATTAAAATTCCAAAGCTTAAAGATAAAGAGAGAATCTTAAAAGTAGCAAGAGAAAAGCAGTTAGTTACCTTCAAGGGAGCTTCCATAGGACTATCAGCTGATTTCTTAACAGAAACTTTGCAGGCCAGAAGGGATTGGCATGGAATGTTCAAAGTGACAAAAAGCCAGGACCTACAACCAAGATTACTCTACCCAGGAAAGTTATCATTTAGAATTGAAGGATAGATAAAGAGCTTCCAAGACAAGAAAAAGCTAAAGGAGTTCATCACCACCAAACCAATATTACAAGAAATGTTAGGACTTCTTTCAGAAGAAGAACAATAAGAAGAAAAAGATAAAAAATATAAATAATAAAATAGAAATAACTACATATCTGTCAGCAATTATTTTAAATGTGAATAGATTAAATGTTCCAATCAAAAGACATATTGTGTCTGAATGGATAAGAAAACAGGACCCTTACATATGCTGCCTACAAGAGACTCACTTCAAATAAAAAGACTCACAGAGACTGAGAGTGAAGGGATGGGAAAAGGTATTTCATGAAAATGGAAATGAAAAAAGAAAAGTTGGGGTGGCAAAATATATACCAGACAAAACAGACTTTAAAACTAAGGCTATAAAAAGAGACAAAGAAAAACCCAGTAATTCCACTTCTGGGTATTTATCCAAAGAATCCCAGAACACTACTTTGAAGGGACATGCACATCCATATGTTTATTGCAGCATTATTTACAATAGCCAAAATATAGAGGCAACCTGCATGTCCATCAATGGATGAATGGATAGAGAAGAGGTGGTACATATATACAATGGAATATTACTCAGCCATAAAAAGAATGAAATCTTGCTATCTGTAACAACACAGATGGACCTAGAGGGCATTGTGCTGAGTGGATTAATTCTGACAGAGAAAGACAAATGTCATATGATTTCACTTCTATGTGGAACCTAAAGAACAAAAGAAACGAACAAGCAGAACAGAAATAGACTCAAAGATAAGAGAAAATTTTGATGGTAGCCAGATGGGAGGGGTGTTGAGGGTGGGTGAAAAAGGGGAAGGGATCAAGAAGTACAAATCGTTAGTTACAAAATAGTCATGGAGATGTAAAGTACAGGATAGGGAATATAGTCAATAATATTGTAATAACTATGTATAATGTCAGTGGGTACTAGATTTATTGGCGTGATCACTTTGTAAGTTATATAAATGTCTAATTACTACATTGTAAACCTGAAACTAATATATGTCAACTGTAACCGAAAAACAAAAATATTTTTAAAAGAAAAAGAAAGGGTTAATATTTAAACTGCTATTAACTATTTGTAATAATTTCTTTGGTTCAATAATGTCGTGGGGGCAGGGAGTAACAAAAGGTTTGGTTTTATTACGTTTTTATACTAACACCCTTCAAGAGCATATTCTGAGAAAATAGGATAGTCTTTTTCATGGTTTCCTTTTTAAAGATTTTATATGCAATAAAGACTGATTAAAAGGTATTTGAAGGAGAATCTCTTTTTCCCTTACTTCTGTTCTCTGGCTATGGACTAGTGTCACATAATCTCCACTTATCCCTTTTCTGCTATTATGATGCAGTAAAATCCAATAAAAGAAGCATGGGCTTTAGAATCATATGGATTTACATTCAAATCCCAGATATGCTACTTACAAACTGTGAGACCTTGGACAAGTTATTTCACCTAATCGTCTTTTTCGGCGATGGGGGAGGGGGTCTGAAAAACAGGGATAGCACTACTTTCCTACATAGAGTGTTGATTAAAGCACCTTACACAATGTCTGGCAATTAGTAAGTGCTCAACAAACATTAGTTCCCTTACCTCTCCTCTGTGAGTGAAGAAACTGAGTAGGAAAAAAACACTCTGTGCATAGGGTCTACCTTCTCTTATATGCAATTTTCCTGCTATGTAAGTGTATGACAGAGTGAAACTATATGGATGCCATCCTTCATCTCTCAAAATCTCTTATATTGTACTCTACATGTGTTGCCCTGTGTATATTAATGTCACCTTTCCAGAGATGACTCTGAGTAGTTGTTTCACCTCCTTGGACATTGTATACATCCATTTGTGAATTGTCTATATCCAGGCAAGCACCATGCTGATTTGATTTGCTTTGAGGATGTTGCTACTGGGCTTGTCTTTTCCCAGAAAAGGTGGTGAGAAACTTGTTGGAAGAGAGAAGAGTCTTTACAAGTCACTGCTTCAATTTTTTAAATAAAAACTTTGAGGACATGGTAATGAGAGCACCACCAGATCAAGTAGGACAATCTTACCTAGAGAACACGTATTCACCTGATATATGCATGTGGCAGAGCCAACAATAATGAACTCTTAGAGAAACTGGCCCATTTCCCCCAATTCCCATAAACTGTGTTATTTCTGGTAAAGGAGCCAATTCAGTCAACATCAAATGAGTGCCTACTATCCATGGACTAATGTTATAGTTTTTCAATTTTTAAGTGTTCAGAATGTTAAGTTTTTGGGTGTGGTGGGGGAATACAAGCAAGCCACTATAACCAACACACAACTAAAGTGTCCAACCAGAGAACAAGGGGTTAGGCCTAATGACAATTTCATTCCTCCAAGGTCAGCATAACCTAAGAGCAGAAAGCCAAACGCAAGCCTGTGTGGGCAGCCGTACTTAAAAGGAGGAAATTAAAACAGCAAAGTAAACCAGAAAGATTACTAAAAGAAAAAAGCAGGATATTACAAGGTCAAAACAAACAAAACAAAACAAAACAAACAAGAATCTTCGGTGGCATCAAATGTAATAAGTTCAAAATAGAGAAGTAGCAAAAAGTGATTTGACTAGGAGGAAGTTAGCAGTGGTTTCCAAAGTTAAGTGGTTTCTGACTGGGCAGGTGGTTTCTATTATATAAATGGTGGCTTACAAGGAATGAGATATTTAGATCAACAATTTATTTCACACAGAACATTAAAGAGCCAATATAATTAGATTCACTTACTTAGTCATGTATTTCATTAACATTTGCTGTGCTCTTACAAGTGCCTAACTTTACTTAGCTCCTAATAGAAAAGCTATAATTAAATCATAATAGTTTCTCCTTCACAAGGAATCTGGGCAAAGTTGTAGATCAATGACTTAAAAATGAAAATCTCGTTTCCCTGTACTATTTCAGTTTATGTATTCTTTTCTGATATATCGGTCTTTTGTTTTCCTTTTTGAATTAAAAAAAAGTCGAGTTTGCCACATCACAGGCAAAGTGTCAACCTTGCAAGACAACAAACAATAAAAGATCAAACCTCAATGTATCTTATGCATTCTGCAAGGAAAAGCAGAAATGGTCTTTATACCATTAGAATTTTTTCTACAAATACAAACAAAAGCCCACACAAAACCCCACCAAAATAGTCCAAAGGAACGAGTTTCCTTAGTTTCATAAAAAAAAAAAAAAAAAAAAATGCGTCTCTTATTTTACTTCTCATAATTTAATTGGTTGAGTTGGCCATATCACTGGCAAAGTACCAACTTGGATTCTGACAGGAGGTTAAACACATCAGGTCTCAAAGAATCCTGTGTGAGCTCTGAGGGAAAACAGAAATGGCATTTATGCCTTGTATTAGGCATTTATTTCCATTAAAGTTTGGTGCCTACAACATAAAATCAACCTCCTACAGGAATAGGCCGAAGCTGGCAAGCTTTCCACTTTCAGAAAACATTCCCCCTGCTAGCTTGGAGTTCAGATGCGGAGTTCAGAGCCGCCTTGCAGTAATCTTCCTGGTCCCTGCAAGTGGAACAACCCACAGGATACCTTTGGCATATCGAAGGTGGAGGTGAATTTTACAGTCCAGTGTGCACATGCACACACACACATTGGCTATAAGGGACTTCCATAATTAACCATGCAAAATAACCCCACCTTAAAAGTAAATACACCAATCCACCTCAAGGGTGACGTGCTTTTTTTTTTCTCTTTCTACTTTCCATATTTTGGGTTTTTTTTTTCTTTTTAATAATGAGGGAAATCTTTTAACTTTAAAAAAAACTACTTAAAGAAAACTTTGTTTATTCTAAGCCATCTAGTGAAAAATACCTATTTGAAAATTGCTCTGATTATCCTTTAAATAATTTGCCTTAGCTTCATTATTTCTAATAGCCAAAAATAGACAAAATCTGATGTACTGCATTTGGAGATCCACTATTTTTCAACTATTTTATTACTACCTTCTTATGTCAAAAGCCATCCCTGTTCAAATGTTTTAATGGTTAATAACCTCTTTCTGCAGTAACTCCAAGCATTTTAAAACATGTACCTAAAAGTCATTATTAATGTTATTTAGTTGTTGCCACTTTCTCTGTGGCTGTGATTGACTCCCACTAACCACCAAATTCAAAAACTGTGCAGATATGTGGCAGAGATGAGCTAGGTTCTACTAATAGGTCAACAAATTAACCAAAAACCAAAGAAAGAGTTCCCCCATTTCAACTCAAATTTTGATAATTATTAATTTCCTCATTACCCTGAAGGTCAGGTTCTATCTCTCCCTATCCAACTTCCAATGCAAGCTATATAATCAAAAAAAGTCTGATCTCTAGGAGAATATTAAGAATATGCTATTTCATAACAAGGAATGTAATCCTTTCACAGGGGATAGATTTTTATAAAGAGACATTAATTTTTTTTAAATAGCAGTCAATACCTCAGTTTTATATTTCATGTCTAAAACTGTACTCCAAGTAGAAATATGGCATGGCTTACCTCTCTCAGTGGTAGAAAAACACCCTAGTAAATTTTCTAAAAGTGAATTTAAACACGATGATTTTAGAGGAAAACAATGTTTATTGTGTAAAAGATTTATATTTGTTAATCAAAGGCACATACCAAAACTGAGATTATTAAAGGTGACCACAATATTGACAAGTCATATCAGCCTGGTAAGGAAATGCCAGCTAAAGCTAATGAAGATGAGTTGCTTTGAATTTCTCAGGAAAATACATTAATTATGACAGCATTAATAATCAGAAACTTTCAAATAAGAGAGAAAATATAAATATCAGGATAAACACCTTAATTTGGAGCAAAAAAATGTAATGTATAAGTGTGCTGCTGCTACCTGATGTGACAGAACATTGGTAATGCCTTTAGCCTTGGGTGCTTTAGGTCAGAGACCATTACCACCCTCTGCATGATGTCATCCAGCTCCTGGCTGGAATTAAATTACACAATGTCACTCCATTCCTATTAGAATAGAGAGAGACTAATGAAAACATTTTAGCTTCTTGATGTAAATTATGATGTAAATTATGCAATCAGACCAGATAACCTTGGCTGGGAGGGGGCTAGTTCAAAGGGGTTAATTTCCCATTTTATAACACTACATCAAAATAGAAAATACACTGCCTTTCAAAAGCCCCACATTGAGAAAAACAAAAGTCAAGCAGAACACAGCATTGTTTCTTTTACAATTTACTTGCTCTTCCAGTGTTTCAGGGTGATAAGGGAGTTTCATTGATCTTACGTGAATGGGACAAAAGGTGGACTTATGACATATTGAACAAATGTCTAGATTGAATCAGACTATTGGTGTAGTTTTTCGGACTACTGATGAGTAATGTTAGGCAGTTTTCCAACCAGGCGATCTAGTAGTTCACAGGGGGGAATGTAAACGTCCTAAAATTAAAAGTAAAAAAAGTTAATTTACTTGCTCGAATTTCAATATCTATATTTGCTTGCACACATTCTAATCTATTCCTCTAATGAAGACCTTTCATTTGTTCCCAGGCAATGGCTTGGGAACATAAAAATATGAATGGTGATTAATTCAGCCAGCAACACTTCTCACATTTTACCATTTAAATACTGAAGTTATTAAAATACATTTTCCCCAAATCTGGTTCCTGGTTAGTCTAGATGAGTTGATGGCTCTAACAATAGTCCACCAGGGGACTATGGTAAATGAGAACTAGGGAAAAGGCCACTATTGGTCAAGAGCAGAGTGTATTTGCCAGGGAATCTCATTTCTCTTCATTCTAGGTCCAAATCTGTTAGAAAGGGAACCACTTAGCATCTTTAGGCTGACATGCAGGTAAATACAGAAAGGCTCTTCTGTCCATTTTGGCCATTCCCTGTACTTTGAGACCTGAGCTGTCTGTGTGGGGCTAACATAGTATCGACAAGATTTGAAGGCACGACTAGACAAGACCTTCTCGACAAACTCAGTCCATCCATCAACACACGCAGGCTGAAGCAAACACCAAGACTGACAGAGCTGAGGACCAAAATGAACATACCTTAAGGTCAGAGAGGAATAAGGCCGTGTTATGCTGGTTACACTATCTCGTACTGGTTATTTGTTATGGCACGAGAGAGACAGTAGGCGAGAAAGATTCCGATCAGCTAGATATAAAATATGAGCAAAATTAAATACACGCACACCAAAGATTTGAAAGAACTCAGGATGTAGGTACAGTCTCCTTTCACTTCTAGTTCACTAATAACTTCTTCCCTGAAGTTTTTCTAGACAGTTATGTTTGATATTCTGCAGCGCCTACATTACATTCAAAGAATATAAGTGAAATTTTACTACTACTGTGACCTGGAATTTCACAACTGTCATGACAAAAATCACTCAAAGATGATTCTAAATGTCATAGTTTGGGGGAAACTTTTCCCACTTTTCCTCTCACTTATCAGAACAGAGCATAGTTTAGAATAAGCATTTCATCAAGTAAAATGTCTATCGGCGAGGGGCGCAGATTTTCTTGAAGGGTCAAGAGCAGTGCTACAATGATGGCAGTGTTCTGTAATACCTCTCGTGTCCAATATGTGGCTTTTGAGCACTTCAAATGGGGCTACAGTAATTAAGAAACTAATTTTAAATTTTATTTAATAACTGGAACCTTTCAAAAGTGGCTAGTGGCTATTTTATTAGACAGTGCAGATTCAGGCATAGCTATGCCTGCTATTAAGATAAGACTTCCCAAATCAATTACATAGGTCAAAATGAAGTATGACAATGCTTTTGGCCTTATCAGCACACTGTCTAATACAGGGAAAAAAAACTCCATCCCCTAAAAAATTGTTTAGAGCCACAATACAGACTTTTCATGCTGTGAGAAGTAGCAAAACTCAGGAAATACAGTTTGATCCACAACATAGTATCCACCCAAAATAATAAGGCACATATTAAATGTGGGTTGTATGATCTAAATTTTAATAGGTTGGGAATTATATGAAACTCATGAGGCAGTGCAGCCCAGGAAAGAAAGATGCTAATAATGTTTGAGAATCTTGACTGTCTGTAGAGCAAAGCAAAGTTCCACTCTCTCTCATTTTTTTTTTAATTAATGAACAATGATTCTGGAAAGCTGCAATAACTAAGAGGGCACCAGGCCCTTCTACAGTTAACTGCTTTCAAAAGATATGTACTAGAAGTTTTGCTTTTTGTAGGTTCAAGGTATGATTGGCCATGGTAAAAAAGAACAAGTAAAATGAGAATACAAACTTAAGAGAACTCTGTAGTTGTGGAAAAGAGTGTGGAAAAGCATAAGATCCAAGATATTAAAACTGAAATGAAAACAGCAAAATCCCCTCCCAAATAAGCTAAATAAAGACCCAATCACAAAAGACTGGCTAGATATGTTTTACAAACAAAAATAAAAGTATTTCTATATTGTGATGAGTGTCAGAATTTTGTGAAAATGTGACTTCTCTGAAAACGCCCTTGCTATCCAGGCCCCTGAAGCAAAAACTTGAAGCCTTCAAAGGTATTGAAATCTTCCAGCTGACATCTACTAGAGTGATGAAACATTTCCTAACTACAGGGACTTACCTGGAAGCAAGCAACTCCAAAAGAAATTCCGGCAACAATTCCCATTTCTGATTCTATAATGGTCATCACCTTTATAAAACATCCCTAACAGGACAGGGAAAAAAAACATTAAGTATAGCACAAGAAATAAGAAATACTTTGATCATACATCATGGGCTGTCGCTACCCTAGCCTTTGTCATTTTATTAAAATTTACTTTCACATAAAAAATCCAGTCTCCTTTCAAGCACAGTTATTTCTGACAAGTTTGAAGAACAGACCTTTTGGATTATGCATTTAAAAGTGTTTCTTACTAGTTGTGCGAACTGAGGTCACAAATTTTCTGTGTTTCAGTTTCCTCATTTATTCAATGAGAATAACATCTGCCCTATTTCAGATTGTGTACTGTGAGTAAAAACTAAAAATTGAGACGACTGTATTCAGTTAATATTTTTGAAAAAAGTTAAAAAGGCTTCTTACTTCCTTGTTTACTTTATCTGCATCTTTCTGAGGAGAACAGTCTTCAATTTTACAGCAGCTCTTGGGAAATCCTTTTTCTAAGTAATAATTAGTATCCTCCCAATCTTTAAAGTCAGTGACACCACAACAACGCAACTGAAAAAAAATCCAATAAAAATACTGATATTTCATATTACAATTTTGTAGGCAAACATTTAACCTACCATCTTAGACTGCAATTTGTATTCAAAACAACATTTATTATATAAAATGATATTTTCGTGTGGCTGTCTTCAAATGGCATTATAGTTCAAAAGATTAGCAGTTGTTTCTAATATCAAATGTTTGTAATATTTTTAGACTAGCCTTACTTTCCTGCTTTCATCAGTGCTAACAGTACTTGGTCCATGACGTCAGTGGGGACTGAAGAGAAGAGGTGCACAAGTAAGGAGAACGGTTAGGAGAAAATGGAGATATGTCACTTAGCATCATCGCACACTTCTTTCAAGGGACATATCTCCACTTTCTCCTAATCTAAGATTGTAAGAACACCTAGTAGCCAGGGGTCTATCCCCTTCTCTGAGGAGATAGGAGATGTGTTCCCCTCTTGAGAAGCCACCACCTACGACCACTTACCGTATTCTGAATCTTGTCTACTGCATCGCTTCTATAATCTCTTGTAGCATTATACTGCTTTAAAGCCTTCTCATAATTATTCTTAAAGCTGTTCTTAATCTACAGCAAAGAAACACAAGGCCAGTAAACAAAGATTTAGAAAGTTTGAGTATATTTTTTTTGGTTTCTAAGTCAAATATGAAATTCCTACATCTGACCAATGCTCATATCTTTGACAACAGCGATATGCATGGTAATTAACTTCTGTGGTTCAGTCCTGTCCTAAGGGGTATAGTTTAGCTGAGGGGACTACTGAGCAAAACATTACAATAAAAGATGATAACCACTACAAGTTCAAAGTGTTATGAGAACACGTCAAAAGGCAGCTTTGTACTGCTGTATCCCCCACCACCCTGATCTTTATCCACTTTAAACAGTACAAATTTGATGCCTATGGAATTTTTAAGCTACAAAACCTTACTTTGGGAGACTGCACTGCTACTTTGTAGAACACTCTCATTGATGAGCCTTCACTACTCACTGTGGAACCCTAATTTCTAATTCAATATTAAGGTTTTGATTATTTGAATTAAGTATATTCAATATTTTCTAAATGCGTGTCACAGTGGAAAAGATCAATTTTGTGCTTGAAATAGTTTCCTATCAAAGTTATAAATTGTACCATCTCCACTTTAATAGGTACTTATACACAGAAAAATGTAATAATGGGTACCTTTAATTTTCTTCTGGTGATTGTTAGTCTTTACAATTTTCCAAATGTTCTTTTGTATTAAAAGTGGGCTAGAATTTTTACAAGAAAGCCATTATTGTCAGCTACGGGTTGCAATGTAAAGCTTTAAGTATAGCTGTGAGTGATTTTTAAACTAATAAAAGTTGTCTTTAACTCTGTAACTTAAATTAATCCATTTTTAGCTCCCAAATTCAGGCTTACCTCATGTCTGAAAACAAATCCTACAATGGCAGCAACCAGTTCAACCAAAAAAATGAGAGTCAGAAACATTGCATACTGCAGGATAAAAAGAAAGTCCCAGTAAGTATAAATCAGATACATCACAGCTGCAAATGGAGTCAAAGTTTAAAAAAAAAAAAAAGGTCTGCTCAATTGCTCAATCAGTTCAGCGTTTTTATTATTATTATTGAAAAGGGCAGGAAAAACACAACAAAAGTGGGAATTGGCAGCTGACTGTTACTTGGTAAGTTTTCAAAAGGAACAAGAAAAACCTTAAAAAGCCATAGCCAGTTCCAAGAAACAAAGTCTACAAGATATGTGTAAGACTTTTCAAAAACCAAGAATCAGACATGGTTCCATAGTGTAGCGGTTAGCACCTCTGCTTTACACGCAGAAGGTCCTAGGTTCCCGCTCCAGTGGAGCCACAGTCCATGGTCTACAGCCATGCCACCCTGAACAAGCCAGATGTCTGATCTTGGAAGCTAAGCAGGGTCGGGCCTGGTTAGTACTTGGATGGGAGACCACCCAGGAAGACCAGGTGCTCTAGGCATAAATAATAATACTAACAATAAAACAAGAATCAATTCTAAGGAAAATCAAAACTCACCAGTTTTAGCATCCATGCAGAAGCTCGGCAGGTAGCAAAACAACCGAAGGTGCCCAAAAGAATTATGACAGTGCCAGTGCCAATAAGCACGAAGGGGACATTGGTGGCCTTCTCATTTAAAAGGGAGAAATAATTCTCTAGGCTCACCTTGCCCCAAATGCCAATGGCAAGAAGGATAACACCAGTGATCTATGTGGGAAATCAGAGAATGGAAAGTTATACACTGTATACAGCAGCATCCTCACACCACAAACCTCTTGGTATTTAAGAAGCAATCGGTATGACAACTCATTGAGCAGTCTGTGGCCACAGAGCTGTGGGGTAGGAAGGAGATCTGCACACAAGGACAGGCCTTGTTAAATCCACACGCTGGATCACTAGGTAGCCCAAGCAGCCAGGGTGAAACCAGGGCACAGCTAAAGAAGTAACTTAACAAAACTCTTAAACTTCATCTGTTTTTTTGTGTAAATAAAAGCCCATGACACATTTGCCCTAGGGATCAAAACTTCCTTAACTGTTTTACTCCCGCCTCAGGAAGAAAACATCACTGGAGGGAAAAAAGTTTCTAGGAATTCCAGAAACTTCCCCTTCCCTCCAGTTCGGAGATGAGCACAAAAGGATGGTACACAAAAGCAAAGCCCAAGGACAGATTGGCCGGAGCTGAGCCATTACCATACTTACCGGAGGACTACACCCCTCTTTATGAAGCAGTGAAAAGAAGAGACTATTATGCAAGCGAGCCTCTCGGAGTGGCGAGGCCAGCTTGCCTCTCCAACGGTCTGGGGGCACCCTCGGAGTATTCTGGGGAGGTTAATTCCCTTCTCTGTCCCCCCATCCCCGCATCAAATTCGAACTCTAGGCACGTCTGTGTCCCAGCTCAGCCCACCCGCTGCCGTCCCGCACGCAACCCTGGCTCAGGCGAAATGCCCAAGTTCCAGCTGCGGCCCAAGCGACTCGTCAGCAGCACCAGGATCCTAGCAGGGACCGCCACCCAAACCCCCCGCCCGCATGCTTCCCTCTGCCCCACCTGGGATCTGAGCTCCTCCGATCAGGGTCACACACCCCCACCCGAACCCGGGATCCCCGGCTGTCCCCGGGCGCCTCCGTCTCTCACCCAGAAGATAAAAGTGTAGATCAGGAGGACGCTCTTGAAACAAGTAATGACTGGTTTAGTCTGCAGTCTCCGAGAAGGGGACGCCATGACTAGCCCAGGACCCTAACCCGCTGCACCAGATCAGAACCGAGCGAGCGAGACGCAGAGTCCCCGAGTCTCTCCGGAAACTGCCGAAAACTTACGAGTGTCCACAACTGAGAAGAGCCGGAAACACGGTTCAGTTTTCTAGAGGGCGAAGTCCAGGAGGCTGTCCGGAAAGTAATGACAATTGCCGAGCGCCCCCTGCCGAAGGTTACTGAAAACTATATACAAAGGTTCTCATGTCGGGATTTCTTGGATCTTTAAGTGGAGCTTGCTTGCTTTTTTCACTAAGAGTCTTTCCCGCCCCCTGCTCCTCCCCCGCCTTTATAACTTCATCATATTGTTTCTATCACCAGCAGCGCTCAGAGATTCGGCGTCGCCGGGCCTCTGGTGCCCTAGAGGGACAGAAAAGAATAAAAATAGGTTAAAAGTGACCCGAGAACATTTAATTATACGGCAAAATACCCCACAAGAACTATATTTCCAAAGAAACAAAGCTGGTTGCAAAGAGATGCGTACAGTCACACGTTTTTAAACAAAAACAAAGGAAAAAAGTGAAATTTACATCAATGGGGGAATTAGCTGATATTTGTCTCACTTCTTTTGTGCTTTTGAACTTTTGAACGTTGTTTTATGCGGTGGGGAGGGGCCATAAGAATGAATGAATCGTGGGAAATAATCATTTGTTGAAAGAATTCCAGAGCTAGGTATGAAAGATTGATAATGAATTTTAGAATTTCCTTTCTTCCCTTACATTAAAGTAATTAAGGCTGAAAAGTCAGTTCAGCTATTTGCTACAAACTTTTAAAAACGGAAGACGCTACAGAGAAAGCCAGGTAGATGCGACCTCCTTTTAAATGTTAAAACAGAAAGCCACTATGTATTCCAGTCCCCTGCTTTTTCAGATCAAGAACCAGCCGATCACAGAGGCTGCAATCTAAGGTCAAACAGCTAATAGCGAAGCCAAAACTAGAGATTACTGTGCTTTCCAATCCCGTCCTCTGTTTATAAGCTGCATATGGCATTTGATTGCCCATCCCAGAGAAATTCTCCCAGTTGCTTAGAACTTGAGGCTATGTGTTCCTAAGGAGTTACACTGCTTACAGTACGGGAATGAATCACCCCAAAGTTTTTTGTCCTATATGTCCAGAGGCAGCCAAGTCAAATTAAAAAAAAAAAATAATAACTCTAAAGGGAAGTTTATAATTGGACAGTCCTAGTAAATTATAGATGGCATTTAAAGTATGGATGTATAGTATTATTTTTTTTTAAAATCAAGTATATAGGCAGCTCCGTGTTCCCATGTTATGTAGCATATTGTTACAGTGCAGTATATGTATTAAGTGAGTCTATATTGTTACAGTGCAGTGTATGTATTAAGGTCTGGTTTCTCAACTAAAGTGTAAACACTTTGAGGGCAGAGGCTGAATGTCTAGTGAGTGTGTGTTATTACTAAAGGGTTGGGATTAGAAGACCATATCAGTTGCTTATCCAACCCATTACATCATCACTGACACAAGCTTAACATCACAAATGGGCATTTAGTAGTATTGCTATGGCAAAATGTCAAGCATTAGTGAAGGAGAGATGGACACCCAAAACTTTTTGCTTGAAACCTTGCTTTAAACATATATCACAGAACCAGAAAACAAGAAAGTTCCATTGATGGTCATACAGAGCTTCCCTGTGATTGACTTAGGATCAGCTCTTGTTAGCATCATGCCGAATATCTGAGGTCTAAGAGAATAGTTATTGGAGAATGAATTACTGTACAACCAGGCCTTATACCAGAATATTATCTTAAAATTAGAAAAGCATAAATACATGGAGAGAATGGGTAAATGATACATCTATACACCTATTAACACTGAGACAAGTTCATCAGGAAATACAGTATATATTAACTTTGAAAGTATCAAAGTTAATATATAATGAAACTTGATGGGGGCTCTTCAATAATTTGCAAAGCTTTCTCCTGAGGCTAGATAGCACTATGTGAGGGGTTCTCATATTAAAACAAACAAGTATCAAGGAGGTCTTGCTAACCCTTAACATCATAAATAGAAGTTTCCTCTGAAATATATGTTCGTACTGTGTCTTGGAAGGGATTTTCGTTGTGAGCCCCAGAGCAAAGAAATATTTCTGTGGCTGAAGAAAAAACAAAATAATCGAAGCAAAAGCCACATCTTATTTCCAAGAATGTGTTGATTTTCCTCCTCTCCCTTCCTCTGCCGCTCACAATGCTGCTTTGCTTGAATAATAGTCAGTGCCAAATTAAACTAAAGGCTGACATAGAATTTAATATTCTTATGGCCACAACACCTTGCACCCCTACCTCCCACCCTGTTACATCCCCCTTCTCCTCTGCCATGCCGCCAAACCCAGAAGTTCAGTTTAGTTCAAATGTACACCTGGACCCGGGGCCAAACCTAGGGGCATCTAATCCCATATAAGGCAATGTAAGAAGTAATTCTCTAGGTCATAAGAAATTTAGTCTTTAAAGGATTAATAGAGACTGTAATATCGAGCATTGACTATGTACCAACCACCATTGCCAAGTGCTCAACATGTGTCACCACCTCATGCATACATCACAAAAGCTCTTATTGTGAGGTCAAAGCTACTACTGGCAGCAGTTTACAGATGAAGAAACAGGTTCAGAGAGGCTAAGTAACTTGCCTAGGACTCAGCCCTTCTAGCTTCTGTTTCCCTCATTGGAAACAGGGCCCACTCTGTGATGAGACATGGCTGCCACAGTATAAACAGCTGTCTCAGCTGGGAATAATCTTACCAAAGACTGCTGTACTCAGACATTGAGCCATGAACAAGGGCTGTCTAGAGCCCCTGAATCACAAGAATTTTCATCATTGCCCCAATTCAGCCTAGTACTTGTTTTTTGCTGAGTTTTCCTTTTGCCTTCACTCCAGTAGCCCAGTCACCTAGGAAGTTAACCTGCTTGTCCCAGAGTGGCGAGGTAGAGAGTTCAACACCTTTTTTGGTCAACGTCTTAATTTCTCCTTCTTTCTGATTACAAAAACATGTTTGATACTGAAAATGTAGGAGAAAAGGAAAATACTTTCCTTAAGTATTGTTGTTTGTTTTACATTCAATATTCAGAAACTGCCTGTAACTTTCAAGATTATGTTTAAATGTTTTCCTTTGGCATTTAAACTATGTTTTCCCCAGCAAATATGATATCAACTTATTTCCTACTGCTTTTCCAATGTGAATTTTCTGTTCCACAATTAACCAGTATGATTCTCTCTCCAATAAACAAGACATCCTCTACTCCCTTTCCACTCTCCAAACTCACTCAAAATTTCTGCCCCTTAAGTACCTAAGGTTCAACTAACCCCAAATCAAACAGGGCATCTTCCCTCCCCTCACCACAAAACCCCCATCTCCCCCCATCTCTACTCCTCTCCATTTCTCCCCACCTTCCCCCAATATATACCTCTTTCTCTAACATCAGTACTCATAGTCTAATCACTCACATTAACTCAGACCTTTAGTTAATCACTATGGTACCTGGTACTTGCTTTCTTCTCTACTTACCTGTCTTATACCCTGCCACCTACATATTCAGAAACTACTTGAAGAGCCAGTGTGGCAGGCTCGTGCGCCCCATTTTATACTCTTCCCAACAACCTAGGACACAATGCTCAATTGATGAGATCATGTGGTGCTCAGCCAATCCCTGTTGAGCTCATTGGTCACAGCTGGTCTCCAAAGCTAACCACTTAGTAGTGACTCAAGATTTGATTAATTAAATTAAATTAAAAACTAAATGTCTATCCCATCTCAGTACCATGTTGTCATAAAATAGAAAAATTAAGTTGAACTGCCAGATAATGTCTTAGGACTTTACTACACCCTGTTTTAGGAACCAGTAGAAAGACATCAACCATTTCACTCAGAATACATCTTATATTCACATAATGACCTTATCATTTTCGTTTCCTAATACTTTTTCTAGAATCCCTTCAATTACCTTTGACTAAGTGCCTATCATGAAATTTTAATGCACCTCCTACTTATTAGAACCTCATTTTACATTACAACACTCAGATAAACATCATTTAAACAGTTAATTTAAACATCATTATTTAAATAGATAATTCATATGTACAGTTTTAAAAATTAGTTTCCTGAATACTAATATCTCTTTAACTCTTATTGTCTCATGTATTCTCATTATTCCTTCTCTGAAATTTTCTTCTTGCCAGTTTTTCATTCACTTTTTTTCATCCAATCCTTTCAAATTCTCCATGAATACTTTCCTTCCTTTTCAGCCTTGATCTGGCCTTCTCCAAAAAAAACTCTCATAATATATAATTTGGGACACATAAAAATGAGAAATATTCTTTAAAGTTATTAAAATTCACAATCTCATGTAAATTCGCCTTGGTCCATTTATAAGAAAAATGTTTCTAGTCTAGCCTTGTTAATCAAATCATATGGACGGGTGTTTATTTAACTTTATATCCTCAGTGTCTAACGGAGTGTTATCCACATATAGTAGGTACTGAAGAAATGTTGGTTTTTAAAATTAACCCCGCCTGTTTGGAATAAGCTCTTTATACTATTCTGTACAGGAATACTGTCCCTCTCCTTTCATTTATCCCCTGAATTTGTTCACCATATGATTTTCATATTCTTCCTCCTTTACTTTCTTCTTTAATCTCTCTCTGCCTTGCTCCATTTAGCTCTAAGTGGGATTGAGGTCTTATGCAGCACCCTTGTCCTAGCATGAGCTAGGCTCTGTGTTTGTACTGGGGAAATGAAGGAGGCTAAGGCAAGGTCTTTGCCTTCTAGGCACTCACGGTCTAGTAGAGTACAGAGATGAATCTGAGATGAACAGACAAGTATAGTAGGGGACAGAGGTTGTCAGAGATGAACAATTAATCCTATAATTGAGACATATAAAAGTGATATGATAGAAAAGGAAGGCAAAGTAAACCAGTTCTTTCTGGAGTGGGCTGAGGGTAGCTTCTCAACAGCAAAGATGGATACAGTTTCCACAAGCCAGGAAAGGAGGGAAAGAAATACAGAGTAGCGTAAATATGTCTGTGCAAAGTCACCACGGCATGAAAGAAAAAGCAAGAAGTTTAAGGTGTCCAGAATGAGAAGTCTTTGGGT